ACAAAACCTTCACAGAAGTAAACATGTATCTATTTTAGGCTTTTCTCCAACATTAACCTGGCTGTAACTGAGACATAAACCCCTGCTCATTCACTCCCATAACAATTCATGAGACATAACCTGGACATCCATCTTAGTGAAGGCATTCATCCCTGCTCCACCAGGCCTTGCTCCACCAATGTTATTAGTCTCTGTGAAAGTGAGTAAGTGAGTACGGTTTTACGCTACTTTTAGCAATATTCTAGCAATATCACGGCCAGGGACACCAGAAATAGGCTTCACACATTGTACCCTTGTGGGGAATCGAACCAGGGCCTTCGGCGTGACGAGCGAACGCTCTAACCCTACCACCCCAGTCTCTGTTAAAGCAAGGGAGTTATTGCAGTTGTAGTACTAAGATCACCTTGTGTAATGGCCCTTGGAAAAAATAGAAAAAAGCATCAAGATTGACGATCGGTAATTCAAAAAATGTTCCGAGATAGAGATCCAAATGTTCCTTGGCTGAAACAATCAAAGCAATGCTAGAAGCTTGTTGAGAGGTTTGAGAGACTGTTGTTTCACTGAGCACAAGCAATGATTCTGTACATTGCTAATGCTAGGTGTTACAATGGTGAGGTCAGGTGAAATTGGGTTTAACGTCGCATCCAAGATTATTGCACTTATATAGCGACGTGCATGCATGTGTGTGTGTGTGTGGCTGCTTGTATTAGTCCGGACTGATGCCGATTTATAGTGCTAGCTCACTGAGATACCATGCCGCAGTTTAACATGAATACCCTACTCAGACACAGTATACTGACTCCAAGCCGACCAGCCCTTGTTTTAGCCCCTAATGCCGAGTGCCAGACAGGGTAACAACAAGTACCATCTTTTAACTTCTTTAGGTATGACGCGGCTGGGGATCGGGCCCCGGACCTTCCACTCTCCGTGCGGACGCTCTACCACAAGACCACTGAGGCGGTTCTGTTACAATGGTATGTGCAATGTGGAATATAAACATTGTCATTTCTGGCCATAGGGAAAGTGTATGAACATCAAACTGACTCTCTGTTCGTCCAATGGAAAAGACGTACTAGCTAGTTCTGCAAACATAAATCACCAAACAATTTACAACTGGCTTTACATGAGACCTTCAACCTTAGTTTTTCACGATAATTGTTGTTCATAATTAATGTGTCAGCTTAATGTTGGAGGAAAGCCCGAAGTGATGCAGGTCTCACACGTTTACCACTTTGGGGCAACCCACAAGTACAGGTATGGTGCTGACAAACCTAGAAACATAATCAGGGCAAACTGGATTCAACCCGCAATCACAGGTTCGGGCCTGCCAAAGGGACCCAACTCTGTACGGATAATTTTGGTCCCTTAGATGACTGGGTCACCCGTACCACCTGGTTTGATGAAGAAAACAGACACGTAACCTGGCATTTATGCCCCATTACCTTCGAACAAACACATCTCAAACTACACCAAGAACTGATCTGCAATAATGTCACAGCCATTACCAGCAAGTCTAGACAATACATTCCTCTCATGGCCATGCCCTGTTTGATTAATTAATGATTAAATAAAGAGGTCTTTTTGCACATGGGTTGCAGGAAAGGAAACGAGGTTGCATTTGAATTCCAGATGCACTTCCTTTATAGCCCAACCTTAACTCAACACGCATTAACTGTCACACTGCATGAAGAAGTCACCCAGGTGAGGTGAGGTGAAATTGGGTTTAACGTCGCGTCCAAGATTATTGCACTTATATAGCGACGTGCATGCACGTGTATGTGTGTGTGTGGCTGCTTGTACTAGTCCGGACTGATGCCGATTTATAGTGCTAGCTCACTGAGATACCATGCCGCAGTTTAACATGAATACCTCACTCAGACACAGTATACTGACTCCGAGCCGACCAGTCCTTGTTTTAGCCCCTTAATGCCGAGCGCCAGACAGGGTAACAACAAGTACAATCTTTTAACGTCTTTTTGTATGACGCGGCCCGGGATCGAACCCTGGACCTTCCGCTCTCCGGGCGGACGCTCTACCACAAGACCACGGAGGCGGTCAGAAGTCACCCAGGACTGTGAAGTATGCAAGGATGTGAGAGGCTGGTGAATGATCATCAGTTGGAGCACCTGCATATGCAATTCCTTTAAAGACAAGCACAAAACAAGAGCTATATTTATCCATCCAAAAAATAAAACAAAAACTTGTTACATTATGATATTATAGGCCTTTTCTTTCCCATTCACTGTCTCAACTTGCCAAAACCAGGTGCCCATTTGTCATCCCCATCTCCCTGTGTCACATCCATCCATCCATGTGTCACATCCATTTCTCCATGTGTCACACCCATCTCTCCATGTGCCACACCCATCTCTCCATGTGTCACACCCATCTCTCCATGTGCCACACCCATCTCTCCATGTGCCACACCCATCTCTCCATGTGCCACACCCATCTTTCCATGTGTCACACCCATCTTTCCATGTGTCACACCCATCTCTCCATGTGTCACACCCATCTCTCCATGTGCCACACCCATCTCTCCATGTGCCACACCCATCTCTCCATGTGCCACACCAATCTCTCCATGTGCCACACCTACTCTATCCATGTGTCACACCCATCTCTCCATGTGTCATACCCATCCCTCCATGTGTCACATCCATCTCTCTATGCCACACCCATCTCTCCATGTGTCACACCCATCTCTCCATGTGTCATACCCATCTCTCCATGTGTCATACCCATCTCTCAATGTGTCACACCCATCTCTCCATGTGCCACACCCATCTCTCCATGTGCCACACCCATCTCTTCATGCGCCACACCCATCTCTCCATGTGTCCCCCTCCCCGCCCCCTACATGTATTCCAACAATACTCTTACATGACTATCAGCTGTGAAGGAACAGGCTCATTAATAACAAAACAATGCACATTTGGGAGCAATGTCATTAGTAAAATGAGACATATTTGTCGGCCGGAAGGTGTTTCATGAAAATTGTCTATGCTTTCATATACACTCATTAAATGGCAACATTCAAAACCTGGTGCATCACTGGGACAATACATTTCTATCTATCTAAATTATTCCTGATTACAATAACAGTCCGTACTCCAACACCTAAATTAGCTTCTAAAAAACTTTGCTTAATCTTAACTGGAAACACAAACGATCGGAAATGTCATAATCACTGTGCCTCAAACACATACATAAAGTATCTGAGTTTAAACATGTGTTGCTCATGGCAACTGAACAAAATGAGTCTGTAAAGTGTGTTTACCTGTATATAAAAGATAACACTGAGGCCACAAAAGTGAATTCATTATTTCATTTTCATCCCTGTCCATTCACAACCAAAGCCCCGCCTCGCGTCATTGTGTTGTCCCCAAGTACCTACAGACAAAGTAGGTGTGGTGAAATGGGGTTTAATGTCGCGTCCAAGATTATTGCACTTATATAGCGACGTGCATGTACGTGTGTGTGTGTGTGTGTGTGTGTGTGTGTGGCTGCTTGTACTAGTCCGGACTGATGCCGATTTATAGTGCTAGCTCACTGAGATACCATGCCAGTTTAACATGAATACCCCACTCAGACACAGTATACTGATTCCGAGCCGACTAGTCCTTCTTTTAGCCCCTTAATGCTGAGCGCCAGACAGGGTAACAACAAGTACCATCTTTTAACGTCTTTTGGTATGACGCGCCCGGGGATCGAACCCCTGACCTTCCGCTCTCCGGGCGGACGCTCTACCACTAGACCATGGAGGCGGTCTACAGACAAAGTAAAAGTAATGTGTATGTGTTCCCATTGCTACACCAGACAGACAGTCCTACCAAACATTCCTACTTCATGTACCAGGTACTGTACACAGATGCCTTCATAAGTTTGTTTCATAAACATAAAATATGGAAAATGTCATTTGAAACATTTGAAGAAGGCTAATATTTCATGTATTCTTGTCTCAAGGCCACAACAGAACTTGCTGCCGAAAACTGTTCTATTTTTATAAAGCAAATAAGTTTATCTTTTAATCAATAGAAAATTGATCTTATCTGAAACCTAATACTATATTTGTTTCTGCCTGTTCTGTAGATCAGACAGCAATAGCTGACAAAGATGAAATAATTGTTCCACATAACAAGCCAACCAGTGACATGAACAATGAACTACAGTGAGTGAGTGAGTGAGTGAGTGAGTGAGTGAGTGAGTGAGTGAGTGAGTGAGTGGGGTTTAACATCGCTTTTAACATTTCAGTTATATCACGTTATGTCAGCTTAACATGGGAGGAAAGCCTGAAGTGATGCAGGTCTCAGACATTCACCACTTCGGTGAAACCCACGGGCACGAGTGAATGAGTGAGTGAGTGAGTGAGTGAGTGAGTGAGTGAGTGAGTGAATGAATGAATGAATGAGCGAGTATGGTTTTACGCCACTTTTATCAATAATCCAGCAATATCAAGGCAGGGATACCAGAAATGAGCTTCACACATTGTACCCATGTCGGGAATCGAACACGGATCCTCAGAGCATGACCAGCAAATGCTTTAACCACTAGACTACCCCACCACCCCTACAGGAGATGCAAACCAAATGAATATCAACACAATTATGCAAAAAAATTCATGAGATTCTGTATAAAATTCTGCTTCTGTTTCCTCTCTAATAATGACAAAAGAACTCCCAATTAAACACATGTGTCCAAGTGTTCAAATCAGCGAACTCCATGCTCCTAACAATAATATAAACCGTATATAGTCTTATAGTCATGGATGAAAAGGACAGGCATTGAATAAATATGAACTTTCCACCCTACACTATTACTCCTTCCAGCAAGCAGTCTAACTACACATATCGTCCCCCATAATTCAGGACACAATCCTTCCCCACAATCTATGCATGTCCACTGACAGCTTAGGACAGTCAGTCCATCGCAGTGTGATATACCCTACTGCTTAGAGCTTAGCAAGGCATAAGGCCCATAACAACCGTGGTGGGCTCAGTCAGTGTGTAACATCAGGCAGTGACTGTGAGAGGCAGAGCCAGACCCAAGTTCACTTCAGGCCTCCAGCCTCTAGACTAGCCTCCACCAGTTAATCAGTCAGTCATCGAGGAGTGTATGTACCAGACTGTCACCTGATCGTGTGCCGAGAGACGATGACAGTGATTGGCAACTAGTTGAGATGCAGTCCCTACTATGCTGGAGGTGGAGGAATGAACTGTGAAAGTCATTCTCTTTCATTTTCAACCTCGGTGAAGAAGTGCCGTGAACTTTGATGGACTGTGTCTTGGAGAGACTTTGACTAAAACGGGAATGGAAATGCTTTGTCAACAGCACTCCTGAGTTTTCATGGGACTGTGTTAAACAGGACTCTGTAGTTGAAGAAAATTAACAGTGATGTGACAGCTTGTGATGGTCTTCATTTCAGGTAAGTCTTTTCATATTGGTACACTTTAATATGGTGTTTAAACATGATTCCTAAACATTTCCTAACTTGAATCTTAAAAGTGACTCCTAAAGATGACACTGAAAGATTCCACTTGAATATGACATTTAAAGATTCCACTTGAACATGACACTTAGAGACACCACTTAAAGATATCACTTGAACATGACACTGAAAGATACCACTTGAACACGACACTTAAAGATAACCACTTGAACATGACACTTAGAGACACCACTTAAAGATATCACTTGAACATGACACTGAAAGATACCACTTTAACATGACACTTAAAGAAAACCACTTGAACATGACACTTAGAGACACCACTTAAAGATACCACTTGAACATGACACTTAAAGATAACCACTTGAACATGACACTTAGAGAAACACTCTTTAAGATGGCTCTTAAAGACGCCACTCAAAAATAACACTTAAACATGTCACTTTAAGATGGCTCTTAAAAATCACATAATAAGATAGAACTTTAACATGGCACTTGAATGTGACACTTAAATATATTCCTCCATTGCTGTCCCTGTTTGAGTTTGTTCTGTTCAGGTCAAGTCTGACACACGGAGTCTAAGCTGCTGATACATTTGATGAACCTGTTACCAAGTGCCTCATCTACTTTCTGAACATTTGTAGAACCTTATCGTCACCTTGTTGACTTATGTAATCATATCTGTATAAAAGTAGACTTGTCAACTAACTTTTCAGACTAATGGGGGCGGTTGGGTAGCCTAGTGGTTAAAGCGTTTGCTCGTCACGCTGAAGACCTGGATTCAATTCCCCTCATGGGCACAATGTGTGAAGCCCATTTCTGGTGTCCCCCGCCGTGATATTGCTGGAATATTGCTAAAAGCGGCGTAAAACCATACTCACTCACTTTCAGACTAATGGGTCCTGTTACCAAGAGCCTGATCTACTTTCTGAACATTTTAAGAGGACAGTGAGCCTTATCATCACCTTGTTGACTTATGTAATCATATCTGTATAAAAGTAGACTTGTCAACTAACTTTTCAGACTAATGGGTTCCACACCAACTAAATAGGGACTATGAAAGTATTAATGTCATATTTGTTGACTGATGATGTTATTAACATTGTAATGTTATACGCCTAAAACAGTGTGAGTGTTAAAATACCAAACTTTCTGCTGGATCATTCAACACACATTATGTACGTAACATGGTGTCCTAACATATAGCTTACATATTAACAATTAACTTTAAATTGTCAACACATATTCCAGCAAGAAGTAAGTCATGTGTTTTAAATCTAAAATTGAAAATTAATTATTACAGCCAAAAAGCTACTAATTGACAATATTACTCCAAATAAAAATAAAATAAAATACAGTAAAAATAAAAAATAAAATAAAAAATAAATAAATAAAAAATAAATACATAAAATAAAATAATAATAATAGATTATTAACCAAGTGTTACAAAAATTGTATTATGCAAGCCTAAGATGAGCATAATATATATTGTTTTTTCCTTATATATGATATTTACAATATGATAACACACAAGGGTTAAAATATCTTCTTAATATGTCACTCTTAAAATAATAATCTAACTCGATTACTGCATTTACATAGTGATGGTATGTTTGTGTGTTTGTGTGTTTGTGAGTGTGTAGGTGTTGCCCACTGAGATACCAATGCCACTCACACACAGTCCACTGACTCCGAACCAACACTGTCTAACATCGACACCCCACTCACACACAGTCCACTGACTCCGAACCACCACTATCTAACATCGACACCCCACTCAGACACGGTCCACTGACTCCGAACCACCACTGTCTAACATGGACGCCCCACTCACACACAGTCCACTGACTCCGAACCACCACTGTCTAACATGGACGCCCCACTCACACACAGTCCACTGACTCCGAACCACCACTGTCTAACATGGACGCCCCACTCACACACAGTCCACTGACTCCGAACCACCACTGACTAACATGGACACCCCACTCACACACAGTCCACTGACTCCGAACCACCACTGTCTAACATGGACGCCCCACTCACACACAGTACACTGACTCCGAACCACCACTGTCTAACATGGACACCCCACTCAGACACAGTCCACTGACTCTGAACCACCACTGTCTAACATGGACACCCCACTCACACACAGTCCACTGACTCCGAACCACCACTGTCTAACATGGACACCCCACTCACACACAGTACACTGACTCCGAACCACCACTGTCTAACATGGACACCCCACTCAGACACAGTCCACTGACTCTGAACCACCATTGTCTAACATGGACACCCTACTCAGACACAGTACACTGACTCTGAACCACCACTGTCTAACATGGACACCCCACTCAGACACAGTACACTGACTCCGGACCACCACTGTCTAACATGGACACCCCACTCAGACACAGTACACTGACTCCGAACCACCACTGTCTAACATGGACACCCCACTCAGACACAGTACACTGACTCTGAACCACCACTGTCTAACATGGACACCCCACTCAGACACAGTACACTGACTCCGAACCACCACTGACTAACATGGACACCCCACTCACACACAGTCCACTGACTCCGAACCACCACTGTCTAACATGGACGCCCCACTCACACACAGTACACTGACTCCGAACCACCACTGTCTAACATGGACACCCCACTCAGACACAGTCCACTGACTCTGAACCACCATTGTCTAACATGGACACCCTACTCAGACACAGTACACTGACTCTGAACCACCACTGTCTAACATGGACACCCCACTCAGACACGGTCCACTGACTCCGGACCTCCACTGTCTAACATGGACACCCCACTCAGACACAGTACACTGACTCCGGACCACCACTGTCTAACATGGACACCCCACTCACACACAGTACACTGACTCCGAACCACCACTGTCTAACATGGACACCCCACTCAGACACAGTACACTGACTCTGAACCACCACTGTCTAACATGGACACCCCACTCAGACACAGTACACTGACTCCGAACCACCACTGTCTAACATGGACACCCCACTCAGACACGGTCCAGTGACTCCTAACCACCACTGTCTAACATGGACACCCCACTCAGACACAGTACACTGACTCTGAACCACCACTGTCTAACATGGACACCCCACTCAGACACAGTACACTGACTCTGAACCACCACTGTCTAACATGGACACCCCACTCAGACACGGTCCACTGACTCCGGACCACCACTGTCTAACATGGACACCCCACTCAGACACGGTCCACTGACTCCGAACCACCACTGTCTAACATGGACACCCCACTCAGACACAGTACACTGACTCCGAACCACCACTGTCTAACATGGACACCCTTACTGACACAGTCCACTGACTCCGAACCGACCAGTGCCATCAGGGAACGACAAGTACCATCTTTTAACGTCATTTGGTATGATGTGGCCGGGGATTGAACCACCAACCTTCTGCTCTCCGGGCAGACACTCTATCCACTAGAGCATGGAGGCGATCCAATTACGTATGTAACAAGAACACAAATAAAGGCACAGCTGGAGCACAAGTCATGTGCGTAATGCCGTGAAGGTATTAAGGTATTATGTGGATAGACCTCACTATTACCACACGCTTCTCTCAAGGTCATGCTAATCCAGATTTGCCCTGTATGGGCAATCCGTCTTATGCTGTTCAGTTTCTGTTATATAATTATATTCAAAATACATCGAAAAACCAAAGCACCCTTACTACATATTATATTTCCACATAAAAACAAACCTAACCACCCGATCTCGTTAGTCACCTCTTACAACAAGCATGGGTTGCAGAAGACCTTTTCTAACCCGGATCTTCACGGGTCTTGTCACATATCAACAAGAGTCATCAGAAGATGACAAATTCCCCGGTCACAACAAATTCAAAAGGACAAATTATCTGCCTGTTAAGTCCACTTGATGTAGAATTTCTACCTGATCTGTCTGACAGTATACAAGAGTAGTTATTGAGCTATCAAAACAATACCGTGGAATTGGGATTCGGAACTTTGTATTTCTATGTCAGGTACACACCACTATGAGTCAAAGTCAAACTTGTTGCCAGGGAAACGGAAAAAATAGAAATTCTAATAATCCCTAAATAGCAAAAGGCACCAGATGACAAACTGGTCATATGTGTGCATAGTTTCAAGGAAGAATACCTGTTAGTTTTAAAGATGTAGTCAAAGTCAAACTTCTTGCCATGGAAACAGGAAAAATATATATCTAAAGTCCTAAATAGCAAAAGGCACCTCTTCAACCTCTGCAATAATACATGTTCCAAGTTTGATTCAACACTGTTGAACAGTTTTTTATTGCTTCTCCAGAAATGACACCTACCTCCATTTCAGCAAAGTCTAACTTGTGTCCATGGATACAGGGAAAAATGAAGTTTTGAAACATTCCTAAATAGCAAAAATAAAACTTTAAAAAATTACAAAATAGCAAAAGGCACCACTTTAGCATGTGACTGATACATCTTTCAAGTTTTGATCAAATATACCGAATGGTTTTCAAATTCTGCTCCAGAAACGAACCCCATCCCCAATGGAGTCTTTATCCAACTTCTTTCCATAATTTGGAAAATCCAAAAATATCAAAAGGCACCACTTCAGTATGTGACTGATAGATTTGCCAAGTTTCGATCAAATACACTGAATGGTTTTCGAGTTCTGCCCTGGAAAAGGAAATGATTACAGACAGACAGACGGACGGACAGACAGACGGACGGACCGACAGACTGGCTGATCGCTATATCCCCCCGCATTATATCCCGGGGGGATAAAAAGGGGAGTCAGATGTAGATGCCATTCATCATTTCCATCTAGTCCACAGCTCATTTCAAACTATTGTTTGGTAAAATGACTAGATTTGGGGATAAAACATCCAGTCCATCTGGCTTGTTACTAACTAACAGACTACTGGCTGTGTCTATCCT